GGGTCAAAAGGGTGACCGCAAAATCTACACAGGTGAGACGAACCAGCCAATGGCTGAAAGTCTCTATAATAAAGAAATCAATCAATTAATCTACACAGGCGACTTCAATGCGAAGATCGATTTCGACAACACGGACTAGGAACGTGTCATGAGACGCCATGCTCCCGGAGCAATGAGCGCGAACGGCGAGCTTTTGGCAGATTTTTGTGGCAATCACGACATGGTAAGCAGGGGGTCGTTTTCTCTTATCGACCAATGCACAAAGTCAAGTGATTTTCCAGCGATTGACATACCGAGAATCAAATCGAGCACATCTGCATCTGCCGAAAATGGAGACGGATCACGTCTGATCACCATTTTTTAATTGAAGAGATCCGCGATCCGCCTACGCATTGCGCGGAACCAGTGGCGGGAGGAGAGCTCCGGTGGCGATTCAACACACACCGACTTGAAGATGCAGCATGAAGGTTTTTCTAGAAGAACTTGAGACCCAACAACGAATGTTATGGCAGCGTAAAAGAGCAGTGGACGACCATCAAGAATCAATGTCCTTTATATAAGCACAGATATAAAGTCCGAGCCACCTTGCAGTATGAAATGTTGTGGTAGAGTTAAAGTCCTGCAAGTAAAAGTATGGACGTCTATCAAAAGTTTTTCCAATCGAACCGTCAAAATGCACTGCTTTGCTCGATTGGAACAACTTGTTTCAGTTTGTGGTGGCAGTCATCCATACTTTTAGGCTGTGAACCGTTTGCGGAGTTGAATTTAACTCGTGGTTAAAAGTGACACTTCGAAAGTTATTTTCCATGTTCGAAAATCCCCGTGCTGTAGATCGACCGGTTTTCGAGCCACGGTTGTCAAAATTTAACTTCTTGTCTGTCAGAAATAACCACGCTCGGATAGCAGGGTTAATCGATAACTTTTCATCTGTAAAATTTCAAACAAAAGCAATGTTAGCAATATTTTAGCTTCTAGTCTGTTGATCTGGACCTTATAGAAACGTCATTGATCAAGTATGCCTTTATCGAACAATATGGGTGAGCTGCGCACCCCAAGTGCCTAAAGAGTGGATCGTGAATGAAACCCATTGGAAAATCGAAAAGTTAAGAGAAGCAAAAGCCGCGCTATGGGATGTTTACACTTGTGCTGATTCACGTGCTGGTGAGTCTGTCGTTTGCAAAACCATGATTATTAAACGCTGTACATACTGGAGAGTTATAACATGTTATAACGGTTGTCAAATAATTGCAACACAGAAACCACCATCCAGATAGCGCTATAACATGTTATAACTCTGTAGTCTGAACGTACTATTAGCATGATGTAAACAGTGTTTGGTGCTGATTAACATTGGTGCATAAATTTCTGTTGGAAACTTGATCAGATTACACCAATTTTGGTTGATCAACATTATGAACCAGCACATAATATGTAAACAGGCCATAATGGGGTGTTTACATCTGTACTGGTGCCCTAGCACGAGTGTACTAAAATTGTACTAAAAAGTAGTCAGCATAATGTAAACAGGCCATCAGCATCTGTGAGATTCCAGGAGCAACTGAAATTCGAGCTAGTGAAACAGCATACATATATGTAAACAGGTCATAAAGCGGACGATGACCAGAGAAGAACGAAGCCCGTGAACGTTACTCGGCTCTAGAGAAGGAAGTAAACCGCTTTGGTAGACGGGACAGCTTTACGGTAGCTATATAGCGACGCTATAATAGGGTCCGACCAAGAGGGTCATAGGTACATGATACAAGAAGACTACGGCTGCCTTTGCGAGTCTACGATACGTTTCGAGTTCAAATCAGATAAGTCTACCCTCCAAAATCCGAATTTCCAACTCGAATGTGAAATCTGTTCTGTAATACGCATTAATGGCCCTTCGCTCAATTTCAACTTCCTATTCAATTTTCACACTGCCGTACTCTAGCGGAACTATCAACCTATCCTCTTCAGAACTTTTCCTTGTTAATAAATTATCACACTATAGCTTCGGGCCTTATTACGGGTGTCACTACACGGTGATAAGGAAGTGATACTCAGAATAAGAGTCGTGGTTGCCGTACAAATCAAATGGGAAACACTTCACCGTGAAGTGACATCCGTAATAAGCCCCTTCATGTTGATATTAGTATAGCATTTCCAACGAACTCTGAAAATCGTAAACTTCACGTATGAACAAAACAAAAAAAAAACAGTTTGAATGTATAATTTATTTTTAAATCACGGATATTAACCTATTTTTCTGTGTGTAGGATCTCGAAAAATATCAATGTTTGAATCTCTCTTGGAATTTTTGACCGAATTCATTTGAGGTTGTAATCCTTCGTAACATACCCTCTATGAATTCTCCGAAAACTCCAAAAACATGAAAATATGCGCCGGATTCCTTTTCCTCCATAATCATGAAATTATCCTCAGATGTCCTTAGAATTCTCTATTCTAGTACCTTGGAGTTCTCCTCAGAATTATCATGGTATAATCCTCTTTCTCGTCTCATAATTCCTTAAGAACTAACACCAAAAACTGTTGTGAATTTTCATTAAAATTTAATTCTTTTGAATCCTATTCAGGGTTGCCTTGGAATTCCTTGTGACATTGACATTTTTAAAGAGAAGTACATTTTTCTAATTATTTTCCCGGTGTTATCGAATTTCCGACATTTTCCTGGTTCACTTGTCACCCAGATTATTGTACATATTTTGCAGTTGAAACTGAGCTCTTTAAAGATCCGAAATCACAAATGAAAGTGAGCTTTGATGATGCATACTGTAGCCCTGTAACAACTTTTATGAGGGTCCACTGGGTCGGAGACGAAGCGTGGGACCACTCTCCACCTAAGATCATATGGGCATTAAATAAACCAACCAAAGAAAATCTGAACCCCCACACTGTGGTCCCGCGCTTCAACGAGCTCATTAGAACAATGCTGAATGGATACGAGCTCATTTATACGGATGGTTCAAAAACAGCGAGCGAAGTCGGCTATGGCGTATTCGGCCCCAACCTGTATATCAGCAGAGGCCTTCCTAAGCCTACATCGATCTTCTCGGCTGAGGCAGCTGCCATCTTCTCAGCCGTTACAGAGTCCAGTTTTTCCTGGAAGGCCATCATTACCGATTCGGCCAGTGTGCTGAAGGCCCTTGAGAGTCCGAAGAACTGACACCCGTTAGGGCAAGCAATCAAAATGGCTTCTAACAGCAACACCGTATATGTCTGGGTTCCCAGCCACTGCAATATCAATGGAAACGAGGCTGCGGACAAACTGGCAGCGATCGACAGATCGAAAATCCCAGTGGAACCGGAAGTCCCTGCAGCGGATTTAAAAATCTGGATCAAAACGATCATCGCTTCGGCATGGGACAAGGAATGGGCTAATACCCGAGACCCTTTCTTACGCAAAATAAAAGGAGATTCGAAATGCTGGTCCGACACCAAAAACTGGAAGGACCAGAGAGTACTGTCCAGATTACGCTGCGGCTACACCAGATTCTCACACGATCTCGGATCCCGTGATGGATTCCACAAGCAATATATGGGGTGTTCAACCAAAATGTCTGTTGAGCATCTCATAATAAATTGCCCTGCACATCAAAACCTCCGAGACCAATACGGTATCGGTCTCAGCATCAGAGACGCAATATCTAATGACCCAAACAGGGAACGATCACTTCTCGACTTCCTTAAAGACACAGGCTATTATCAATATACGTAGAACCCCGCAACGAACAATGACACGACAACGGACGAACGACGGCACTTGGACAACACCAGCTCTCTAAATGACATGTCAAACGGAAGAACAACGATGACAACCCCGCAGGCTACGGACTTTGACTCTCTCTCTCTCTCGAAAATTAACCACAACTTCGTTCACCTTCCTTACTATTAAAACAATCGACACAGAACTCTGAGATACTTAAACTCTGTAACAAACACTATGTAATTTATTCATTTTCTCTCTCCGGGACCCCCTCAGGAGTCCCAATCCTTCAAAGAGACGAACCAGCTAAATGCTGAAAGTCTCTATAATAAAGCAAAAAAAAAACTTTTATCAATTTTTCAAACGAATTTTTCATTGCAATATAAACATGAATGTCGCGAAAAGTTACTTTAGTTAATTTTTGTCGAAAATAGGAACCTTTTAGTGACCACCTTAAAAAAGTGACCCGCCATCAGCCCTGCTAACATAATCATTTATTTGGAACAAAACTTGAAAACAAAATTTGTAACGACCTAACTAACTCTTACTGTCGTACCGCCCAGAATGTTTCAACCAGGATTAATTTCAAGTTAAAAACTAAACTAAATAAAAATCTAATCGTAATATGCCTTTCTTTTCCCTTCTTCATGATAGCAACCAAATAAACTAATCAAAACTCATCTCGCTGTAGGAACCTACTAGCTATTGACCGAATAATTATTGCTGCATATTGATAAAGAGAAATCCTAGCAGTGACTCAGTGGAAAAAGTTTTCCCCATTTGCTTCGTTGTTGCTTTTATTGAAAGCGAAGCCGGTGAATGTTATTTTTTTGGAGAAAACGGGCCTTGTGGGCGTGTATCAAAACACATCCTTCCCGGTCGAATCGCACCAGCAAATTCCAAAGAGCATCGGGGGCAACATCGCCTAGGTAATGCTCTGTCTAATTAAGATGCATTCGTCGGCAAAAGAAAAACAACGAGAAAATCGAAGTCTCTGCGCACATTCATCATGCATATGCGGTGGGTTGTTATCCTACGTGACATCGCCGCAGCGCAACACAAGGTACGAAGACGGAGAAAGGAAGAGGGAAACAAAGTGGGCATTTTTGTCAGTTTTCGCCCCGCATTATGCTTTGCAGGCAGGCAGGAATTAAATATTGTCCTGTGATGATCGATTGAAGGTGCATGTCCTCATCCGCTCCGATTTTGATAACGAGGATTAGACTGATAATGCTATGCTGGGAGACACTGGTCCGCTAGATAGACAAAAATAATTGTTTTGATTACTTACCCACACCGGTTGTGGAGGCCATTGCAGGCTGATACTTGCTGCTGTAGACGATGTTCCGACGAAAGGAAAGGCTCCTGCTATTTGGGGAGCAAAACGAACGAAGGTAGGTATTTTCCTCGGCTTCTCTGGCTAGTAGCTAGCTGGTGCTTCTGGCAGATTATTGATGAAAACCAGGCGAACAGAGAAGAAAAAGCAAAACTTAAAACATTATGGAAACGTCAAGATCAACATGTGAAAAAGGTTTTAACGCTTTGGGGCAATCGAGAATCGATATCGACCTGATTGGAAAATGTCTAGACCGAACTACTTTCCCCCGTACAGTTTCAACTAGCCTCAGCAAATGATTATCCTTAACACGATTTTCACTTTTCCGTTAAAAAAAACCATTCAAAAAGAAATTAATTTAATGATGCCGAAAATTGCAGTCATAGGCCGTTCCACCAATCGGCCTCGACTCGATGTTTCACCTTGTCGCTTTTTCCGTTTTCACGTCACCACCACCGCCTCGCCGGGTTCCCTTTCTCTGAGCGAGCTTTTTTCCCCTGTGCTGCTCTTTTCACTCCACGCACACACGCACAGCACAGCCAAAAGTAGCTAATCGGATCGTTCCGGAGAAATTTTACAACACAAATCGAATGCACCCACGGTCTGGTCTACTGCCGTTCACCGTGTCGATGCCGTTACCGATTCCCGTTGCCAACGAGAGCCCACAAAACTTACAATTTTCACGTATTTTGTCGCACGAATGGCCTGACACTACTCCCTTTCGTGACTAAACTTTTTTCAGCCTTGCCTTGCGTTTGTAACTCTTCTTCTTCGAGCTGATGTTTCTCCTTCGTCGTCGGTTTCGCGGCGAGAGGACGACGTCGATGGTCGATTTTGAGCAGGCGAAAATCGACAAACAAAACGTCAAAATCAAGATGTCGGAAAATTTAAAGCTCAGAATAAAATTCAAGCCAAACTCCATAATCAATGATCGATGAATTGATGGAAAAACTCGAGGAAAACTGCTGCCAGATGTCGCTACTGAACAATGATGATGATTGTGAAAAACTCGAGGAAAAAGTGCGAAGAAATCTCGGAATAAATTAATAAAATTCAGCATTAAAATGCAATTATCTGAAGTCCTTTTTGATTGGGTCGTATGTAACATTTTTGTCAATTAGAGAGACGGGGTGTTTTGTTTTGGTGAACAAATAATTTGTTTCTATTTTCAATGAGATGGATGATTCTTTCAAAATTCCCCTTAACTAACATCTCATGGGTGTTGCTATCAACTGAGTAAGGTATTGATAGCGTTTCTGTTGAAAAACAAACGTGTTTAAACCAATCAATATAATACGATCTTTTGCATGCCGTGTTTTACATTCGACCGTGCGCTTTTAGCTGTTCAAAAATGTATTATTATGAGTAATTACATTTTATAGACCACCCTCAACCGTTTTACATTGAATATTTGCCAAATTTGCACTTTTATTAGGAAAAAACAACAGGTCTTATGTACAGTTTTTACGCTTCTGTCAAATTTGTTACATACGACGATTGACACCCCCATAGAAGTTAGATGTCGTATGTAACATTGAGTTATGTTTTGGTCAGTTGGCATTGGCACATACGACGAATAGTTTTTTGATGAGAAAATGAAACAGAAATGAAGTAGTGGGCCCAAATTTTGCCTCTTACAGTACGTTCAGACTACATAGGTATAACACCGACAAACCAACATGAATGCCCATAGCAAAAACAATAATATTGTAATATTGTATATTATAATGTCTGACCAAAGCACACTACTGACATCTGGCTCAGTCTTGTAAGCGGTCACGGTAGTCGACACATTTTCTGTGATAATTGACTGCCTTTGCCTCCGACACTTGCAAAGCAAGCTATCATGGTACAGTACCAAACTAAAATGTCGTATGACAGGCTCTGTCATACGACACTGTCGCCGAAGACCGTCACGAATGTATGTATTTTAGTTTTTCTCATAATAAGAGCTGCTGATGGTGTGCTTGTGTGAATTCTGAAAATAGCAAGCAATGATGTCCTAGTAATAATATTTCTGATCAGAAATGGTTTGATTTACACCAAATTGAGGAATTACAACGAAATCACAAATCAGTGCCAACATTTCAAAGGGGCGTAATTGCATTTGTAAACAATGGTTTTAGTCGTCGATTTCTCGTGAATGAAAGCTCACTCATAAAAATGAATGACACCAGCAGGTAGAGAAATGTTTCCTGTACCAGCTAGCATTGGTAATTTGGAGTGGTGGGCTTTTATTTGCGAGAAATCGACGGCTAAAGCCATTGTTTACAAAAGCAATTACGCCCCTTTGAAATATTGGCACTGATATGTCATATGATAGCTATTTTGATAATTTTCTTTTAGCTCGGATGTTATTCTACCGCTCGTGTTGTGTGAGAGAGACGACGGTAGATCATGAGTTTTCGAATACAAACAGACTGTCGCGCACGACAACGAAGCGAGGGTAGTAAAAAACGTCAACTGTTTCAACCCCTGATCTGGCTTCGTGTGCGCAGAAATATTTAGCTAAGCCATGAACCCGCATGCAAAAGTTATGAGTTGGTTCGTGTCTGATCTATTCGGGACAAATTATTTTTATCTAGATCAATAAATCCTATGGTTTTGACAGGTCGGATCACTGCACATTTAAATCGGCCGTTTACGATTTTCGGGCATAAGTAAGAATTAAGTGTCATGTCGGTTTGTCGGTGATTACACACTAAGATTTTTTTACAGTATACTGTAATTTTTTACCGAATATGGAACAGCTGAACATTCGATAATTTTTATTATTTACATCTTCACTCCTTGGAGCTGTCTAAATCGAGGTCTAAATTTACTGACCTGGATTGTAAATTTTACAAAATTATTGGTAAAGTTTATTATGGCGCTCGGTATATTTTTTACCGAAATAACTGTAATTCATTATTTTCCTGAATGAACAAAAATTATGATATTTTCATTGATTCATTGATTATTAAAACACAGTCATAGTAAAGTCACAGACAAACAGACGTAACTCTCTGAATAAAATTATCTCCAAATCATAGTACCGCCAAACATAGGATTTCAGTAACGAAATCTCGCGGACTAATAGCATAGAGGTAACTACTAAACCCTCATTTTATCTTTCAAACTTTCATAGCGAATCAAAACAAACATTGCGTAGTACTAGAATTTCGACTAGAATAGGGTACGTTATTCGTTTGCTTGGGACCAATAGGCTACTAAAGTGGTGAGCCAATTTAAAATCGTTAGTTTCGTATTGATTGTTGCTAATAGTACGTTCAGACTACAGAGTTATAACATGTTATAACGCTATCTTGATGGTGGTTTCTGTGTTGCAATTATTTGACAACCGTTATAACATGTTATAACTCTCCAGTCTGGACAGCGTTTAAGGCTGTGTTCCATTTGGTAAATTTTCACTTAAATTTGACACTTCGAAAATAAATCATAATGTTCGAAAATCCCTCTGTTGTTGATCTTCCGATTTTCGAGAAGGTGCTTGTCAAAATTAATTACTGGTCTGTCAGAAATCAGTCTGGTACAATTGAGGGTACTTTAAAATTTTCCATCTGTCAAATTGAAGTGAAAATTCACCAAATCGTACACAGCCTAAGGCCGTGGCCAGGGTAGACGCGATTCGCGATGCGACGCGACCAATTCAAAAGAATCTTATTATTTATTATTATTCCTTGCGTGAGTCGCATCGCGTTGCGTCGCGTGTCGCGTCTACCCTGGCCGCGGCCTAAGGCTGTGAACCATTTGCCGAGTTAAATTTAACTCGTAGTTAAAAGTGACATTTCGAAAGTTATTTCTTATGTTCGAAAATCCCCGTGCTGTCGATCGACCGGTTTTCGAGCCACGGTCGTCAAAATTTAACTTCTTGTATGTCAGAAATAACCACGCTCGGATAGCAGGGTTAATCGATAACTTTCCATCTGTCAAATTTTAACCAAAAGTTAAAATAATCCACCAAATGGTTCAGAGCCCAAGTAAAAGTATGGCCGTCTGTCAAAAGCCATCAAAATACACTGCTGTCCTCGATTGGAACAGTTACACATTGCATTAGTGGTCGTGAGATTCTGTAAGAAGAGGGCATGAAAAATGAAACACTGCAAACACGTACGTTTAAAAATCGACGAAGAGAATCGCGAGACTCGATCATCGCAGTTAGGCCCTTATGATTCTGAACGCTATAGATACTATACTTCGACAGAACTTAAAAGTACATTACATTTTAACTGGCATTTAAATTAATTTAACTCTCAACCCCCCAACGTCCGATACTGATAAATGCTAAATCCACAGACATAACACATTGAATATTTCTCATTGTAAAACATCGTCGCTAAAACATTACCGCCGTTGAGTATACTGTGGTGGGTAGTACGCTGAACAGAAGGCGGTAGTGTGTAAACGTCAAACGCAAGGGTATTTGCCACAGGTGCCAGTACTACCAACTGAGATACTTTCAAATTGACCGTTAAATGCTTGTTCGATGAACAACTTATGAGTGGTATGTCTGTTTGTCTGTGTTAAAATCATAACTCCAATTTTATATTTATACTATCCATGTCAAAAAACCGCAAACTCCTCAAGTTTTAATGAGCTTTAAAGGATTTGGATGATGTTTTTATTCTGAAAATATCATATGAAAAAAAAAATGGGTTAGTTTTTTGACGTTGGGGGGTTGATAATTAATGAATTAAAAGAAGGCTAAGTTATATTGTCCAATCATGCAACTTTTATTCACTTAACAAAATCAACACTAGTAACCAAATTGAAAGTAACACGACTTGAGCTGACCATTGAATTTAACTCGCCAAGAAATTGTCTTCTTGGCGGTGCCTTGCTTTCGCAGCAAATGAACACCTTGTCTCCAGTTTACGTTCCACCTCACAGGACTGGCCAGATCTGCCGAGGGAACTTCATCAATTGGAACAACCGGTCCCGTAGAAATTATACTCTTCGGTCTACCGCTCCCGTCCATATGCCAATCGGCCCACAGAGCAATTCCGTTACATTCTTTGATCACATGATCCAATGAAAGTACCATTTCTCCTTGAGCTAGCTCAGACTGTAAGCTTCCGTCAGCTAGGTTGATGGTGATCATTTTACACTGAGATCCTAAAGCAAAGCAGGGGTATTCCCAGAGCGGTTGAGCCTCCACAGGGGAATCTGCCACGTTCGAATGTTCCTGAAATAAGTCAGACACTTTTCTATTATGGCGTCAAACCCGGAAAAGGTTGGAAAAACTTACTTCAATCATTTTATCCATCATGTCGAGATCGAATCCTTCGCAAGTACCCAGAGGTGCGTTAATTTTCTGTAGATCTAAAAATTCAACCGGAACGGCATAGATGCTAAAACTATTGGGAACAACTACCACCTTCTGTTTGAGTAGCACCTTCACCTGTTCCCAGTCCGATCCAAACTTAATAGCATTTTCCCATGGTAGAATGGCGGAATTGAAGTATGGTTCTCCGAACACGTGAGTTATTTGGGAGGCTGTCTCGGGTTCCAATTCATCAATACTGGAAAGGATTTCAACGCTTTCCAGTTTGTTAAATCCCACATAACTTTCCATACACTGCCGCGAAAGTTTACTCTTTTCCAGAAGTATAATTTTCTTTGCTCCCATTGCTCTTAAGGACAGTCCCAGCAAAGATCCCTCTCCCAGTACCAGCACAACAGAGTTTTTATCCAGAATTTGTTCTAAATAATTCAATATTCGCTTATTGCGAGGACCATCGTTGATCTGTCCTATCCGTGAGCGTGAATACGCGATATGCAAACCGCATGAACAGTGAGCTGCTTCCAAGCTGGAATTTCCTAAACCAAACCACAACGAGAATTCATCGTGATAAGCATCCAGAGCTATTTCCTGACCCTTCATCAGAGGATCTTTCGTGTGAGGCAAGAAATAGATGGCTTGCATCCAGTGATCCCGCCAAGGAATTAAATTTTGATCCGGAATGATAGTGCCCTGGTTTTTCTGCTTCAACTCGGAAAAATCTAGATGGGCCCAGAATGGCGCACAGCTTAAATGCACAGTTCCTTCCAGATCCATTCTCAAATCCCACCACATAAACACTGCCTGTGGTATGCCTGAATTTATAGCCCTTACCAATTTTCTAGAGTGCCGCTTAAATTCCAGAGCCTCCTTACTGGACCAGTCAAATTCGAACACTGGAACCGGTTCCGACAGAGCATTAAAGCTTTCCATTGGCAGTTGACTGAGCTGAACATCGAAAACAGCTGACGATCCTCGACAGTCAATTATTTCCTCCGGTGTCCTTAGCAGCACGTCTCCATCAGAGTTGCTCAAAATTTTTGGCACCTGCCAGCTTATTGCCAGTGGACATTCCACCACTTGAGCGTAAATTGTGGCCTTATCAGGAATCACTCGGCAATCGGCTTCCAGCAAATGCTCCAAAGCGTGCCTATAGGTAGCAATCGCACCTTCTCCTATCAGCTCGGTGTCGAACAGTTCCGTAACCAGCACATTCGCTTTGCGTTCCATATCTTCGCCAGCACCGATAACTACATCCGTAGATTTCTTCTTTACCAACCGAATCCGATCTCCCATTCCATTGGCAGCAATAACGCGTTCCGCACAGTCTGCCATCGGTCGGAATGCTTCGCAAGCCGTCACACTATCCGCACCAGCACGAACGGCCATCATCGACAGCAGACCACTACCAGTTCCTATGTCCAGAACGTGAGCTTCCTTTCCGGCGGCATGCAGCCTTTCTATAGTTAACTGAAGGGCCCGATCGTACTTTTGATTGCGCTCCCAATCGTGACACATGTCGGCAAACGCACTCCGGGCAATTTCCTGATTTCGATCGAAATCGTCTTCCTCTCCGCTAAGATCGTCGGAAAAATCGTACATTTCGGAATTTTTTAATTCAGTCCCAAAAAAAACACGTTTGGTTTTACCACCGGCACTTTTGTTTGATTGTTGACAAACATCAAGTCTGTTGTCATACAAGCAACCCCGGTGGTGAAATTCGGTTGTGCGTACACGGAGAAACGAAACAACTCAAAATTCTACCGTGGACCCCCGGTCATGTGACCGTCTTCAATACAATGACGTTTATATAAGGTCTGGGCCAAAGGGCTTATTGGTGTTAGTGAAATGTGCAAATGTTTAGTGGTGTTCGTATTTTATTGCAATGTTTATCTTTTTACACGAAACAGCTGTTGGCAGTGACGTATTTCTATCTGTTCTCAGTATGTTGGCAGTGACGTATTTCTATCTGTTCGCAGATGTTCAGCAATGTTTACAACATTTTTGCTTCTAACACCAGCAAGCTGCCTGTTGGCCCAGACCTTATATAAATGTCATTGTCTTCAATAGACCTTTTTGACGTTTAATCATCTTTCTCTATCTAGCACACATGGATGAATGGACGATTTGTTTTCCCACCAATCTGTTTCCCTCTTGCTCGCACTCTTGCGCTTTAAATGGTACAGTAGTGTGCGCCGATTAAACGTCAAAAAGCTCTATTGGCGTTGACGGCGACTCTGTCTTAAATTTTTTCGCCGAGATTCCAACAGCCGAGTAGTTCTGTAATTTATTTTGCTGAGATTCGGTAAAACAATTACCGAGACTCAGCCAACAAATAAAATTTTGCTGAGATCTCAGCTAACAACAAGATATTTTGCAGAGATATCAGCAAAAGTAAATGCCGAGGTAATCGGCTGTTGGAGATTTTACCGAGTTAGATTAAGGCTATAGCTCTTTACTCCTATATGAGAAAATCCATAAGCAAACGTCAGACTTTGTACTATCCTTTCACTCCACCAAAAATTCCCATAAGAAAATGTCTATATTTGCCGGAAGAGAAAATTTTTCGACGGTGCCGTCAACGCCAATCTGAACACTTTTTAATTTGAACCCGTTAACACCCTACACGATGTTTCGCGAAAACCCATTTATCTTAATTTAAGTGTAATAATTTTCCAAAATTGATCCGCTGGAGGAATCCGGCTGAGGTAAACATCCTTATTGATGCGTTGCATCAGTAAGGATGCTTAACGCAGCCGGATTTCACCAGCGGATAAATTTTGAAAAATAATTACAAATTCTAACAGAATTGTGATCCTCTACACAGCAAAAAAAAAATGTAATATCGATCAACGTAATTCAAGCTGATGTATGAAATAATGATGTAATAGCAAAAAGCAGATACAATATTACATCAATGGATGTAATTTTGTTCGCAAAATCAATGTACATCGTAGCAGCAGTTTGGATGTAATATTCAACAACTTTTTTTTTCTGTGTAGGTTCGAAGACAGATCCCGATATGGAATCCCGATGCCATATCCCAACCGATAACCAATGCCGGATCCAGAATTTAAATTTAGGCTTAAGTTCAAGGTAAATTAAATTTATGTTAAAGTAAATTTAAAGTTATATTAAGGCCCAAACGCAATGTGGACGGAAGCGGAACGGAAACGGAAAGTTTGACAGTTGTCACAAATGACATCAAGATGCCTAATCGAAGTCGATTTGGTTCCAACAAGTTTTCAATCCGACAAGTTGGCTTACTCAGATCGGGCTTTTCCGCTGCCGTTGCCATTCCGCTACCGCTGTCATTGCGCTTGGGCCTTTACAGTTATGTTAAAATATTTATAAATAAAGTTTATTGATGAAGTCATGTTCTCGCCAAAACTGAACCTACTCTTAAATGGGAAAACTACACGCTTAGTTCGGTTCACCCAAATATGTGTGAAGAATACCCATAATCGCGAAAAAGTGCGCATACCCATTTTATGAGTAAAGTCGACATACCCATATTTGGGTACATGTATTTTGCGGATAATGTAGGTAATGTTTACCTTTGTATGGGAAATTGACTTGGGGTGAATTTAGCCCAATTTTGGGTGATTTTTTTTTTATTTATGCTTTTGAACATTTCAGTGTCAACATTTCAAAGGGGCGTAATTGTATTTGTAAACAATGGCTTTAGCCGTCGATTTCTCGCAAATAAAAGCTCACTCATGAAAATTAATTACTCCAGCAGATAGAGGAATGTTTCCTCTACCAGCTAGCATTGTTAATTTGGAGGAGTGAGCTTTTATTTGCGAGAAATTGACGGCTAAAGCCATTGTTTACAACGGTAATTACGCCCCTTTGAAATGTTGGCACTGATTTATTGAATTAATAAAAATACAAAATAAATTGCATCAACTTTTATTTAAATCAAATGCAATCTCGTCCCCAATCAATCGAGGTCAATGTACTGATACTTGAATAGATCCAGCTTTTGCAGGAATAGAATTTGCGCCACAACGCTACACACAAACAACAAAAATTGTATTAATAAAAATAATGCATTTTCAAATTAAAAGTTTCCCAAAAATAGTAGTTATAACAGCAAAAATATTAAAAATAAAAGTAACCTTTTTAAATTGAAAGTTTTTCTTTTACTTTTGACTCGTGGCTTTAAAAGTACAAATTTTTAAAACAAAAGTTGTACAATTGTCAAAAATATCCCTTCAGCGATGTTTTACTGGCTGCACTGACGTCTCATATGCCGCCTTTTCTGCTAATCTGGCCGCTTTGAACATGACATCCAAATCAGAAGTTACAAAAAGAGTCATGATTATTTTGTGGGATACCAGACTTTGAACTTTTCTTCGTTGGATATTCCGAAATTATTTGCTGCTACGTAGAGACCCGCTTGGAATTGGCATTCCAAATCAAGTTCCAAATGGTAAGTACATTATTTACATTGTTATTTTATTGTATTTTTAGATTCTTTTTTATATCAACCAGGACGACGTCAACCATAATAACAAGAATCCGTCACCAGTTGGTACATTCTGATGTTGTGGCATAGGATTTAATACGTCTGTAGCGCTCCCCTAATAAAAAATAACCATAAACGAACGATAACCCAAATCATTGAACTATTCCACAAATGGTTTGGATGATACCCAGAACACGTCGTTAAGCAAATTAACCATACAATTTTTATTAGGGTCAGTGCTGGATTCATCGGATTACGAAATGTAAAACAATACCAAGCTTGTCTTGCCAGTGTCCGGATTATGTGTTCCTCGTATCGACCTTCACTTGCCGGAATATCTATCTGTGTCGCTCCATGAATCTCGTTGCATAACGCTTAATTAGTTTTAAAGAAAATTAGTAATAAACAAATATATTTTTTGAAGTTTTTACTAATTTTCAAACCCCAAATTAAATATTATTTAGAATTTAAAATGAATACAAGATGTTATTATGGTGAAAATGTGTACTTTTAATTTTAAAATTCTGTTTTTCCTATCCAAAATGTTACTTATTGTTTAAACTATATCATATTTTCAAATCAAAACTTTGTTTTGAATTGAAAAGAACCCAATTTTAATGCCATCACTGCAGTGCTTTTAATTTGACAGTAATACAATTTATTTTGAAAGTTTTAGCTTTTAAATGTAGTGAGCGGCCAACTTTTGATTTAACAATTGGCTGACTTTTGTTTTGAAAGCTAACCGCTTTCTACCAAAAAGAACCAATGCAAACTTTTAATTCTACCAATGGATTTTTTAATTCTAGCAACGATTTTTCTTTCTGTGTAGTCGTCGTGAATACTTTCAGCAAGGGTAGTGGCATCATTCATAATTTCATCCTTTTCGCTCTGACTTTTGCCGGCCGAGAAGGTTCCTCAGCTCAATGCCCTCATCCTCATCTTATTCCTCCTGTTCGTCCATATCATCGTCGGATGGAGACAGTTTCTTCGGCTGTGAAAACAAAGGGAAAGTATCTTCCAAAATACTTACCAATAATGTGATTCTGAGCCGGGTTACAGTTTCGCAGATGGGAGCAACACACACGGTTAGAAAAAAAGTACCCAAAATTAAGTTCTTTTCACTCATCTCGGCACTATAGTGCAGGAACCCAAAAGTAGGTAAAGCGGGTCAAAGTAATTTTCATTTACTTGTGTGCAGTTCGTATGGAATTTTCCACTAGCTTTTTAACCAAAAGTAAGTTAGTTGTACCCAACAGTAGGTAAATATGATTATACCCAACGTTGGGTTCCCACACTTTACTACCCCTGTTGGGTGGTTTTGCTCCTTCTTTTTTGACAACATTAGAAGGAGAAAATGAGACAAACTAGTCAAAAGTAGGTAAAAGTGAACTGGCCGTTGGGTACTTATTTCTTACCGTGCACGAACGGCAGCAGCAGAAATACACAACCAATGCTGGAAGCAACACGGTTTTGACAGTGTTTGTTTTTCCATCCAAATATGAGTAAAGTGCAATTACCCATATTTAGGTAAAGTTACTTTACTCATAATGTGAGTGAATTCTACTGATTTTTATCAGTATCATTCACCCATATTATAGGTATTGTATCAGAAACCCAAATATAGGTGAATCAACTACCTATTTATGGGTGAACTGAACTAAGCGTGTATGGGATGCAAAACTCAAAATTAAGTAAAAAGAACTTAAATTTAGGGTAATTTTTTTTCTCTGTGCGCGTTTAAAAAAATTACCACCTGGGGCTGAGTCGACTGACAGCGTGAAGCTGCCAAAAGTACGTTTTTTCGCGCGTCAAAAGTACAATTCTTTCTCGCTCACACCACCGTCGTTTGCTTTGCAAATAAAACGATCCGCTGAAATGATCTTGCTCGCTCCTTCAACCGCTTCGCGTGCTTTTTACTTCGGCTTCATTGCGATTGTCGCCGCTGCGCCGCCATATTGTTATTTTGTTTGCGGAAAGCCGCTTTGCTCGTTGCAGCGCAGTTCATTCTGTGAGATTTTTCGGCCCCATTTGTAAACCCTAGTGCTGGAATTTTGTGCCGGAGAGCAACCGGAAGTGTCCCCGCATCGAATACCGTTGGATGCGATAGTTGATCGGCCCCGAAAATGTCGAATATCGTGCTCGATAAGGATTCCTTCTACCGACGAATAAAACGCCTCTACGCCAACTGGAAGGTGAGTGATGGAGTTTGTGGTTATTTGAATCCGCTGATTTTCTTTCGACTCGTACGGATCGGAGCCAGCATCTAACCTCTATAATTGGTTTACAGGAACCGGAGTTTTCCCACGATGATTCGTTGCAGAAGGTGGATTGCATTCTGACGGCGGTCGGCGTAGATGAGGAAACCATTTACAGCAAATCCACCTCGCTGCAGACCTGGCTGCTGGGATACGAGCTGACCGATACGATTACGCTGCTGTGCGAAAAGTCCATCTTTTTCCTAACCAGCAAGAAGAAGATCGACTTTTTGAAGCAGATCGAGAAGGACGGCGAGGAGGGCATTCCGTCGGTGAAGCTGTTGGTTCGAGATAAGGTGAGGGGTATTTTTTTTCTTGAATGGGAAGGAAAGCGTTTTTGATGTACCTATCTCGCTCAACTTTTCAAATAGACCAATATACATTGATCGATACTCTTCAGCGACTCTCTCAGTCGTAAATAACTCGGCTATTTAAACGTTTCCTGTACTCTTTGTCGTATTAGATGCAAGATTGTTGCTTTGTCCATCAAACTGTGTTGAAAATATCCATCCGGAAATATCTTAACATGGTCAAGAGAAAGTCGATAAAGAGAATCGTTCAATGTAGATAGGACCGATTGAAAAGTGACGCGAGCTATCAGGTTTTGTCAGGAATGATGATGAGTTTTACGCTGGAGATCAGATGCGCAGTGTTGCCAGTAATGATGGGATGCAACTCTATGCATCGTTGCATCTAGGATGCTGGACGAAGATAACACTAATATTTAGGTTCTAAGTCACATAGATCGATTCTCTTCATCGACTTTCTCTTTCGTTAATAACTTAGGTATAGAACCATTCCTTGTCGTGTTTGTCGTATTATAAGCTAGATAATAGCGTCGATGTGGGTGCTGAAAATAGCTGGGAATGCCTTAACATGGCCGCGAGGATGTAAAGAAACAGTCGGCGAAGAGAATCTGTTAATGTTACTTAGGACCTAATGCATTGTTCAGCTTGATTTTCGTTTGTAATTAAAATTTACTGTCATGTGTGGTCATGTGCTTATGTCGTTTTCGTTTTACACAGAGAATAATTTATATGGTGTGGATATCAGATGCACCCTTGTTTTCAAACAAAATGTGTGCTAACAATGACACTTACACAAAATACACCGGTTTTACACCGCAAAACCGAAAACGACATTAGTTTCACATTTTAAACACCCCTTTACACTCGCATATCCCACTGGTTCCGCAGAACGACAAAGACAAGGCCAACTTTGAAAAGCTGCTGGAGGCGATCAAGGGATCCAAGGATGGCAAAACGTTGGGAGTCTTTTCCAAGGATAACTTCCCGGGTGAATTCTGTGAATCGTGGCGAGCCTTCATCAAGGACAAGAGCTTCGACTCGGTGGACATCAGCGTTCCAATCGGGTACATCATGTGCTCCAAGGAGGACTCCGAGGTTATCACCATCAAGAAGGCCTGCCTGGTTACGGTAGACGTATTCAACAAGTACCTCAAGGATCACATCATGGAGATTATCGATGCTGATAAGGTTGGTCGAACGTCGTGCTTTTAGGGGTGTACTTGTTCCGTAAATTATGAAATTGTTTGATTCTTTCAGAAAGTGAAACACGCCAAACTGTCGGAGGGTGTCGAGCAGGCACTGACGGACAAAAAGTACGTCTCCGGTGTGGATACCAACCAACTGGACATGTGCTACCCGGCGATTATCCAGTCGGGTGGCAATTACAGCTTGAAGTTCAGTGCATTCAGCGACAAGAACTATTTGCACTTCGGATCGATCATCTGTGCTCTGGGTGCGCGTTACAAGTCCTACTGCTCCAATGTCGTCCGAACGTTGCTGGTCAATCCGACGGAAACGATTCAAAAGCACTACACTTTTCTGCTTAATCTGGAAGAGGAACTTTTGAAGGTGATGATTCCGGGCAAGAAGCTTTCGGAGGTTTTTGACTTCGGAATGGATTATGCCAAGAAGGAGGAACCCAAGCTGGTGGATAAGCTGACTAAGACGTTTGGCTTTGCCATCGGGTTGGAGTTCCGGGAGAATTCGATGATTATCGGGCCAAAATGTGCGGCTGTGTTGAAGAAGGGCATGGTTTTCAGTTTGAATGTGGGTCTGTCCGGATTGGAGAACAAGGAAGCATCCGACAAGGAGGCGAAGGTCTATGCACTGTTCGTCGGGGATACGGTGCTGGTCAATAGTGAACCTCCGGCGAGTGTGCTGACCCAGTCCAAGAAGAAGATAAAGAACATTGGTATTTTCTTGAAGGATGACGAAGAAGAGGATGAGGAGGAGGAAGAGAAAACGGAGAAGCGTCCGGAAATGTTGGGCCGCAGTGGCAAGCGTTCGACGGTGCTGGAAAGCAAGTTGCGAAACGAGCAGAACTCCGAGGAGAAGCGTAAACTGCATCAGAGGGAGCTGGCCATCGCTCTCAACGAGAAGGCCAAGGAACGTCTAGCGAAGCAGGGAGGCGGTAAAGAAACGGAGAAGGTTCGGAAGTCGACCATTTCCTACAAGGGAGTCAACCAGATGCCTCGGGAGCCGGAAGTGAAGGAGTTGAAACTGTTTGTTGGTAAGTTACCATTGATTCTGAGTTGACGAGACCTGTGCTAAGATTGTTTGCGTCGGTTCCAGATCGCAAATACGAAACCGTCATCATGCCAATCTTCGGAGTTCCGGTTCCGTTCCACATCTCCACCATCAAGAACATCTCCCAGTCGGTAGAAGGCGACTACACCTATTTGCGTATCAATTTCTTCCATCCGGGAGCTACGATGGGTCGCAATGAAGGTGGCATGTATCCCAATCCGGATGCAACTTTCGTCAAAGAAGTGTAAGTCACTACTACTTCATATAGTTTGATCTGATCAAAACTGTTCTCTGAAACTCAATTTAAATTTTAGAACCTACCGTTCGACTAACACGAAGGAACCCGGTGAGATCGCTGCCCCGTCGTCCAACTTGAACACCGCATTCCGGTTGATCAAGGAAGTGCAGAAACGGTTTAAAACGCGCGAACAGGAAGAACGTGAAAAGGAAGATTTGGTCAAACAGGACACGCTGGTCCTCTCGCAGAACAAGGGTAATCCGAAACTCAAGGATCTCTACATCCGACCCAACATTGTCAGCAAACGTATGACTGGTTCGTTGGAAGCGCATGCCAACGGATTCCGCTACACATCCGTTCGTGGCGACAAGGTGGACATCCTGTACAACAACATCAAGAGCTCCTTCTTTCAGCCTTGCGACGGCGAAATGATCATCCTGTTGCACTTCCACCTGAGGCATGCGATTCTGTTCGGCAAAAAGAAGCATCTGGATGTTCAGTTCTACACCGAAGTCGGTGAGATCACGACCGATCTGGGCAAGCACCAGCACATGCATGATCGTGACGACTTGGCGGCGGAACAGGCCGAACGTGAACTTCGGCACAAGTTGAAAACGGCGTTCAAGAGCTTCTGCGAAAAGGTGGAAGCCATGACCAAGCAGCAGATCGAGTTCGATACACCCTTCCGGGATCTGGGTTTCCCGGGTGCCCCGTTCCGCAGTACAGTATTATTGCAACCGACTTCCGGCTCGCTGGTCAATCTGACCGAGTGGCCACCATTTGTCATTCCGCTGGAGGATGTCGAACTGGTGCACTTTGAGCGTGTCCAGTTCCACCTGCGGAACTTCGATATGGTGTTTGTGTTCAAGAACTACGCTCAGAAGATTGCGATGGTGAATGCGATCCCGATGAACATGCTGGACCACGTCAAGGAATGGTTGAAGTGAGTATGCTACGCTTTGCTTATGTGCGTTATCTTGAATTAAATCGCTTCATTTTGCTTCTCCCGTCCAGCTCGTGTGACATCCGCTATTCGGAGGGTATCCAATCGCTGAACTGGGCCAAGATCATGAAAACCATCACAGACGATCCGGACGGCTTCTTCGACAATGGTGGCTGGACGTTCCTGGATCCGGAATCGGACGGAGAAGGCGAACCCAACGACGAAACCGAAGACGAAGAGGACGATGCGTACGAACCCACGGATGACGATGATGAAGAGGAATCTGACTCGGAAGACTACTCGGAGGCTTCCGAGGACGACGATACCGTTACCGAGGATGGTAAGAGCATTGTGTAAACTACGCTTGTAAAACTATGAATACTGATCGTCGTAAACTTGTCCATTGATCGCAGATCTAGGTTCGGATGAAGAATCAGGCAAGGATTGGTCAGATCTGGAGAGGGAGGCTGCCGAAGAGGATCGGAATCGAGACAAGGATGGCTTCGTTGATGATCGACAACCGGCCAAGAAGCGTTCCCATAATAGGTAAGCTTACTACTGCTGCTCAGCAGACCCCTTTAAATGCTTGACAATCATCACTTGCTAACACTATGCATAATTCATTCACTCATGCCATACGCATGCCGTCTTCAGACGTGATCGAGGTATGCAGGAATCATCCTCGATCAAAAAGAAGCGGCCAGACGGTCACAGGTGATTTGCTTTTTTCTGCGCTTCCAAGCTCTCCGAACCATATTTTATACTTATAAAGATTTCAAAATCATCTTGATTGTTTAAAGTAAAAAGCCCACTCAACAATTTCCCCGTTTCGTTCCCTTTCTCACAATCAGCTCGTCGAAGAGTAGCAGCCGCGATAAGAACCACAAGGATAAACACAGTGACCGACACAAGGATAAGCACCGTAGCAGCGGTGGAAGCAGCAGTAAGCACAACAGTAGCAACGACAAACACAAGAGCAGCAACGACAAACACAAGAGTAGCAGCAGCAGCAGTAGTCATAAGCGTTCGCGGGACGAAAGTAAGGACAGCAGCTCGCACCATCACAAAAGCAAAAAGTCCAAGAAGTAAGCGCAGTTTCGGATCCTGCTGACCACTCCCCTATTGTGTCCTAACTGTAACTCTGTTTTAACCTGTGTTTTACTCCGGACTGATCCTGGTGTGTGCGAGAATCTTTTGCATCATCAACATCATAGACTCTCCCACACGTTTTCGTTTTCAACATACGCTTTTTGGTCTTGGACAGAAGGTATAGTTATGGCCTTCTGAAGCACTCTTTAAGAACACTGTGTAGTTGTTTCGCTAAGTTTGGTTAAACTATATGTTAAGTGTACCTTTAGAAGGCTAACTTTTTTTTCCGAATCACAAATCAAATACATTCGAATCAGTTGGTACAATAGTTCAAGAGTTTTGTTTTTCCTATTATCACCACTACCTAGGGTTTGAAAATTCGACCTCGTAACGATAACGAATAGTGAGCGAGTTGGTGCTCGATTCACCATTGTAAGGTAGAGTGTGTCAAGTGGGAACTGGTGGTCAGCTCGGGTTCTCACTGGGACGTGGACGGGACTGGTAGCATGTCACTTTTCAGTGTGCTAGGTAACTATTTTCAAGTAAGTCACTAAAAAGTATTTTTTTACACTTACGAAGAATAGTACATGAAGCGGCGCCGGTTGTGTAGTGGTAAGCGTGATTACCTCTCACCCCAGCAGGCCTGGGTTCAATCCCAGTCGGCGCCGCCGGGATGTTCTGAGGCATAACATCTCTGATCATACCTTCCTTCGAAAGGGAAGTAAAGCCGTTGGTCCCCGGTTCATGAGTTGATGGGTCGATAGGTACACTCTAAAAAATCTTCACGTTCGATTTACGTGAAATATCACGTACCTGATCTGTATTTAGAAAATCTCAAATGTTACGTGACGTTAATAACTTTGACCTGCATTACACGTCATGTCCACTAAAAATGTTGGTGAAATTGACCGTATATTCACGTAAACAGATTCAGTGTATTTGTGTTTGTGTGTTTGGGACTTCGATATTTCCGTGAAACGAGATTTGCGTGATTTTCAGGTACGCAAAAAAAATCAATATGGCGTCACCGAGCGTTGTGGAAGAACTCCTCAAAGATTCGAAATTCCTCAGCGCTTGCTGCAAATGTTTAACGGTAATTAGATTCTTTTACATTAATTTATTTATGATTATATGTAACCTTTTTCTAGTTTTATAAATTCAGACGGTGACATCATGCAAACAGGTGTTAAAAAAAAACTCATACAAGTTTCTACCTTATAATAATGAATTAGTCAATATTTTATAATTTTATGAGTAGATATAAGTATTAATCTAAACAAACACGTGAAATTTATATCTTCCCGATAAAATTGCATAATATTGGCTGCTTCTATATATACTTCCCATTATTCTCATTCAAAAATCACGTACAAACTACATGAAAAGCATTTTAACCAAAACGGAATGTCACGTAAAAGTCACCATATGTCCAGTAGTTTTAACCCTGATTTCACGTAAGCAGTACGTGAAAATCAGGCCTTATTTACCTGACTAATCACGTAGATAATTGAAGCTGAATTTTGATCGGCTATGTGCAATTCCGGTAAAAGTTACGTGAAAAATAGGGTGGACGAAAACCACCTATGTTTTCACGTCAATCGGACGTGAAGATTTTTCAGAGTGTAGGGCCAAGTATGGGAGCTGCCTCCCTGGCGTCGGTAGCATTGGTGCTCAGCACGGAAAATAAGATCGACGGAAAACAAATCAAAGAAAAAAAAAGGAGAAGAATAATACACATAGCGGAAATGGCTCTAATGTTGGCCTATGGATCTAAAATTGGGCCCATCGCTAATAATCTGCTATTTATCAATTTTATCTAGATGTATGCAGTTGTCCCACAGCTATCTACAGCAGCAGTCGATTTTTTATTTCGTTGTGAACCACACGATAGCCTATTTTCGAGACTCGCTATTATATAGTTGCTCTTTGTTCGTTGCTAGCAGTTCGGTGCCTTTTGTTGCTACGGTGAAAGATGTGTGAAGTAAAAAACAAGTTTAGCTTCAGCCATTGTGATGCCAAACCAAACATCGGAGAGATAGTAAATTTCGCCAAAGCACTCGACGCGGATCCGGCTGAAATGGAAGCTGTTTATCGCATTGGTGAGGAAAGGGGAGTCTTCATGAAGTTCAAATCAGAGGAAGCGATGCTCCATGCTCTGACATTCAATTCGGAGGATTTAATCTTCCATTATGCGAATGGAACGACGGCAAAGGTACGCATGTCGCATGCTGGTGAATTTATTCAATATGTGCGTGTGTATGACTTGCCACCAGAGGTACCCGACAACGAGCTGGATAAAGTGCTGGGAAATATGGGAAAATTAAACGCATCATCCGGGAGAAATTTGCAACTGATCTGAGTTTTGAGGTATATACAGGGATACGCGGTGTATATATGGATGTGAAGAAGGAAATCCCCACGTCATTACATTCTTCAATCGCAAAGGAAATATTTTTTATGATGGCAACAAAGATAAATGTTTTCTGTGTAAGGCGGACGGACACCGGAAGCTTTCCTGTCCCAAGCGGAAGGCTCGGAAGGAACCGGAGAAGCAACTGAAGGAAAAAGGAAAGCAAAGTGAAAGAAAACAAAACAGCAGCAGTACGTATGCTGGTGTAGTGGTGGAAGGTGCGTCGTTTGTCATTAGCGACCAGGAAACGGACACGGGGTTGGAGATGTTGAATGAAGATAACGAAATGGACGTGACTACCCCGACGACCGACGAGAGTAGCGGAGAGCATGCAACGGGAAACGATTTTCAGAAACAGCAGCAGCGATCACGATTCGGGTTCAATGAAAATGAGGAACAAATTCGGGAATGAAAGAAGTTGCGTGCGAGGGGGGCGACACATCTAAATCTCAAGTTTAGATGGTCAACAAATCTCACACTAGCGAATCAATCTTCGAACAATCTTCTTTCATTTGTCGCATCTACTTGCATTGCTCATCAATTTTTTGCAGGAAATCTTTAGAATCGTCATAAATCTTCTTTCTATCTACTCAGCGTGCGCGCAGCTAGCCACAGCAAAACACAATCTTTTTTGCATCGTAGATAGAGTCGTCCCCCTCGGTTGCGTGCACGGGAGAAGATCGCTTTGTCGCCGCTTCGATCGCCACCCTGAAAAATCATATGATAAAATATATTTGTATATATTTTTTTTTTGTATTTTGAATACCATAATTGGTATTCTACACTCAAAAAATTTATCACATATCTAATGGATGAAAACCATGTGAATTTCACATAGCTTTTATGTGATCGCATAGCTAAAAATCCCACCACAAAATCACATGAATATTATGAGGCCGATTAAATCCATATGAAAAATCATATAAAATTAACGTGATCGCATAAATGTTATGTGAAATTCAGATGAATTCCATTAATTTTGTTTATGGATGGAAATCATTTGTGTTTCCAATGGAAGCTACATGAAAACTATTTTCGGTGTATGTTACTCGGCTCCGCTAAGTTATTTTTATAACATTTGAGCCTGCCAATGGCCTGCCTAAACGAAATGAAAAAAAAATCAGGATGTATGCGTCATTGGGACGGTACTAATGGATATTTTTGGTCGCTATTGAAAATGTAGTGGATTGCTGAATTTATGTATGGGCCCAAATTAAGGGCATTTAGGCCGACATTACATCCATTTCCCCTATCGCTTGGGAAACCGACTTTCGATCCGAGACCCGGAGTGCCGAGTGTCGTCTACCATTCGACTAAGCTCGACTAAAGTCCTCTAAGTAAAAGCACAAACGAAGTTACAGACGACTAACTGGCGAAGAAATCCATTAAAATAATGTGGTTCACTGTAATAGAATTTTCTTGAGAGCTTGTGCCATCATCCACCAGATGGGTTAGTTTTTTTGTTTTGATTTGAACAAAGTTGATTTTGTGTACAATGATTCTTTGACAGTGTGCAAAGAGTGCGTATCATTTTGTCATTTTTTTATGCATTTCAGTTTTGAGTAGAGTGAATGAGATAGAACCAAAACATTCTAGTACATTTGGTGAAAATGCTAGTTCAATCTAATAGTAGTGTTGCCATGTGGTACAATCCAGTAGTAGTGGTGTTGCCATGTGGTACACTGAAAAATTGCAATAGCAGGTTAGTCACCAGAGTTTTCGAGCCGCTCCGTCTGTCACTTCGTTTGTGGTAAAAGTATAGACGTCTGTCAAAAGTAGTTCGAACCGTCAAAATGCACTGCTTTGCTCAACTGGAACAACTTTTTTCAGTTTTGTGGTGACAGTCGTCCATACCTTTACTAGAGGGCTTTAAGCTCGAAGTGATAGGAAAATGTCTGTGTATGTGTATTAGAGTGGTTCAAAATATTGATTTTGCTCCACCAAGTTCAATCGATTTCAAATCACTTCCAAGTAATTCTCCCTAAATTTGAGGTCATTTTGATGCAAACTTATACTTATACCACAAACGAAGTGACAGACGATTAACTGGCGAAGAAATCCATTAAAATAATGTGGTTCACTGTAATAGAATTTTCTTGGAAGCTTGTGCCATCATCCACCAGATGGGTTAGTTTTTTTGTTTTGATTTGAACAAAGTTGATTTTGTGTACAATGATTATTTGACAGTGTGCAAAGAGTGTATCATTTTGTCATTTTTTATGCATTTTAGTTTTGAGTAGAGTGAAAGAATTAGAACCAAAACATTCTAATACCCATTTGGTGAAAATGCTAGTACAATCCAGTAGTAGTGTTGCCATGTGGTACAATCTAGTAGTAGTGGTGTTGCCATGTGGTACACTGAAAAATTGAAATAGCAGGTTAGTCACCAAAGTTTTCGAGCCGCTCCGTCTGTCACTTCGTTTGTGCTTATACCCAGGCTTGCCAAAAGCTCCATCAAGAGTCATCAATAAGCTGAGCTCCAGCATATTTTGATGATGATAAATTTTGCTCTCACGGAGCTATACTTGATGGTCAATCTGAGAGAAGGATGCGGAGCTCGTGTACATTTAAGGTGTATTCAGATCTGAGCGATATTTCACGCGCGGAGAGAGATTTTGCGAAGGTACGAGAGGGAGAAAAGTACTAGTTGTCTCTCTCATTCCAACGCAAATTATGCTCCGCTCCGCTAATGTACGCTCAGATCTGAATTCACCTTTACTCTGCCTACCGAACTTCGTGATGCGCTGGCTCCTTGAAATTTATATGGGACTAGCTGAATGTGGTCAGTTATGGAAGTTGGCCTAAAATTGATGGAAAATTATGGTGAAAGTGTGTTTGGAGTGTGTCGAACTGTCCCAGCCAACGTCGAGGAGTCGTAACCAAGCAGATTACTGACGTTCTCCGGGAGTCCATGTTGT